ATTCTACTATGGCTTCTCCCTTTACTGCCGTTACCACTCGCTTTTCTGATTGGCTCATAGTTCGTCGTTCTTTTCCATTTCCTTACATTGGTTACACAACAAGTCACATGAGCTCATATGAAGGTTATATGAGGCAATAGTAGCAAGCAAAGTATATACAATATGTGATGAGTATAAAAGTATCAAAAACAATGATAAGTAAGTAACATAGCTGATCCCACAAGATACATGTCTCAAAGGATAGAATAGTAATGAAGTACATGTAACTTAGTTAGGTAATCAGGATACACAAACACTGCAATCTGTTATAGTTACAGAAAAAAGATGTAATCAGATTATAGTTACTTTTGGTTAAATTATTAGCAGGATTACAATTTTAAAATTTGTTTTTATTTTAAAAATACACACAGACACATTGTTGATGCTAAAAATCTTCATTTATATATTTTATGGATAGTTCATATTTATTAAACTGTACAATGAACCCAAACAGTGAACTCAATAACTTTAAGAAGTTTGTTTAAAACGAGAGATTTGGATGAATTCTGAGCAGATTATTTCCTGTTTAAGAAACTTTATATACAATTCTCTGTGTGTATTACGTATTTTTTGCCATCATCAATCATACAGACTAAAGTCTTCTTTCATTTTTCTTCACAGAATTGAACCAAATGCTGAGATAAAACCCTACTGTGTATATTTTTAAAGTTTTCTTACACTCTTTAAAACCAAGAAGGAGCCCTAGTAGGGGTCCCGACACCCCACTGTCTTATAGAATACATAAAAGTCCTAATATATTTTTAAAAAAAAGGTTATTCCTCATTATGGGATACAGAAGTTATAATAATGATAGTTTTCTCTTAACTATTATTATTTTGTCTTCAATTCACTTTTCTTATAATTATGAGCTATGTTACTATAAGAAAATTAATAAAATAATACAGATTATCAGAATTATTTGGAGACACAAGAAGCTGCCGAACCTCTATCAGTCCACAAGATGGCGGCA